CCATCATTGGTAAAAACTTAATGAGAATAAAATTGATCTTATCAATTTCCTGGCACTGCTCAGGTTACTATATTCAAAATCTGCTGTATTTTGTTCTCTCTTACTCCTCTTCCCCTCCTCCTTTTCCTACTCCAACTCCTCCTTTTTCCTTCTCCCCCTCCCCCACCATTTTTTTTAAACTTTCCTTTCTTGGAAATACCAATCACAGTGCTTGTTTTCTTTGAGATTTCTTGTTGGGAGAAGGACCACAGCTACTAGAAAAGGAGCAACATAGAAATGTTGCCTAGCTCAGTGATATGCATTTAACCTGGAAGATGGTCAAGATATTACAAAATTTGGCAAGAAACTACTATTTATCTTTCAAATTATAATTCTTTCTTCTTCTTCTTTCTAATTGGGAATATTTCTACCCTGCTAAGTAATCAAATTTATTTTTGAGCCTTGGCATCACAACTAGGTTCTAACTAGTGAGAAGGATAAAGATGCATGGAACTTATTCTTCTTACAATGGTTCCCTTTATTGTCCTCTCTCTCCCTCCCCTTAATGCCTGAGAAGTAATTTTAATCACTGAAGTACTACATCTGTGATGTGACTTTAAGAAATGAAGTCACAATGAGAAGGATACAGCTTCCTTGGAACATCTTATAGGTTGGTTAACATCCAAACTCCTTTAAAGTGAAGGGGATATAGTTCTATCTTGCTTAAGTAATTATTTTTCCAAATTATTTTAGTCTTGGTCAAAAACAATCCTGACATATTGCTTGCTGGTGTTCTGCAAGGCAGGAGTGAAAATAAGGTAGATGGAGTACAATATAATCCCCTGACATTCTTTCACTCTGGAATTCAATATGTAGGTACTGGGAGAGAATTATTAGTCTTCAGTGAGAACTGAAGAAAAAAAACTGCAAGAATACATGCATTATTAGCATGCCTGTGTCATGTTAATGTGGAATTCTACAATGAATATCAACAAATTCTTGATGTGCCTGAGGCTAGGAGACATCTTGACTTCTTGCATAGCCTTAGATCATGAATTGTCCAGTATGAAGAATCCTAACAATACAACAATTCCAGAAGTCTTGCAAAATTTGCTAGATTACAAATTTCTTTACATATATATATATATATATATATATATATATATATATATATATATATATATATATATATATATGATAAATCTCCAATACATGAACTAAAGAGATCCACACATTTTGCTTTCTTTCCATGGCCTTCTTTCCATGGCATTTCTTCATGCACAGGTGAAAGACCACATAAAGGAAATCATTGGAAGTCAACAGTCTACAACCCAGAAGAAATCCCTTAGAAGGTCTCAACTATACTGGCACCTGATCTTGGACTTCCAGTCTCCATAACTGTGAGAAAATAAATGACTATAGTTAAATCCATTCCACATATGGTATTTTGATACTTCACCCTAAACAGACTAAGTCAACAATCTATCAAGTCCCTCCTCAGACATCTCCTCTATGGAAACTTCCTGTCTCCTCCCTCTCCATCACCTATCAAATATATTTCATTGGAAGATCAAAACACTTTTTCATAACACTTAATATAATATCTTATCATCCTAATATACTATATGGTATTTTTTTTTCTTGTGGAAGACAACACAACTTTCTTTTTTTCTGAACTACAACCACATTATTTGAAATTAAATATGTATTCAGTTAAATAGAGTAAGCTATCACTGACATTATTAAAATTCTTTCCCTGGAATAAGGTGGCCAAAGCTGTAATGTGAAGATTCTGATCAAATTGACCAAGTTGATTACCATATTTTGTATAGCCATGCAAAATGCAAGGTTTGTAAGGTGTTCCTCTTTTAAAGCTCAGCATGAATGAATAAAAATTATAGATTGAATGAGGAAGGAATAACAAGATTCAGTTATTGAAATTGTATAGCAACTTAAATTTGATATGGAAATTAAGTTCTTTATCTTTGATCAATATCTAAGATGAAATGAATGCATTTCTTATCCTATGCGGATTCTTTACATATTTTTTTTTTCTAAAAGGAAATTAGGGAACTCCAAAAAAAGGCTAGGGATTAAACAGAAATACTGAAACATCCAAACCACCAATCAATTCCTTCTAAAACTGTTGAGGATGGGAGTGATCTAAAGGGTAGGAACTTAGATCACTCTCATCCTCTTAGGAAGAATACAATGTAGCACTCTGTTGGGTGGTGCAGGCCCCAAATGGCAATAGTTAGGCTGCCTTGATGAGATTTCCAGCAGGCTATGCTATATATTTAGTGTGAAGCCAAGGCTGGGAACCAGCTGTTATGATTAATCAAGGCAGAAACACTAATTCAGCAGATATGTTCAAGGTCATAAGCTTTAACTTGTGAGCAAGTGCCCCCTTATGTAACCTATTTGCAGTGTGCTTTCTTTGTTTGGCCTGCATATAAAACAGGCTTATGGAAAAGACTGGAGGGCTAATTGGGGTTGATGAGGGCTAATGGGGACAAAATGGGGGCAAAATGAGTACTAAAATAGAAATTGGCTGAGAGCTAAATATGAAGCTGGAGGCTATTACCACCTCTGAATAAAGCGTGTCTACTCTCCTAAGGGTGTCTTCCATCCTCTTCCACCTGCTGAACCCCTAATTTCTTTCCTGGGTCAGGACGCCCAGGAGATACACTTTCAAAACAGATTTTGTAAATGGATCTAAATTTAGATCATGGCTTTCCTCTTTTCCTGAATGTGCCTATGCACAAATTACTTAACCTCTTTAAAATCCTTTGATTCTCCATATATTAACTAAATGGGCACTTCTGTTTTTTCACTTGTCTTTACAGACATTAAAAAAGCCAACAAATATAGAGAACCGAGGTTTGGTGGTGTTATTTTTCCCTCTCAGTTTTAATCATCTAAAAGTTTTTAGACAGAATTGGTATCATCACTGCATGTATGATACTAAAGTGGATGGAAGTAGTAAGGAGAGATGAGAAACTAAGAGAAACAGTGAAATGATCATTTTAAAACAGGCTTTAAAAGTATCTGTAATCAATTAATTTTCTTATTTCAAAAGATGTTTTAGGTTTTGATCTTACCCAGGACTTGCAGTATTTTGGTATTTATTATTTCTCCAATCTTGTCTCTGAAGAGCAATTACCCATCCGGCCATCATCTTTACAGGAATAAGCACAACTTGTGCAACTTTCAATAGGGACCTTTAAGTTTTGCCTTTGAATGAAGCAAATAATGATAAACTCTAAATGTCAAAAGGTCCTTTGAAACATACTTGATGCAGCTATTTAAAATTGTAATTCAGAGGTATTCCTTTGTAAATATTTCATAGCTCTAAAGTATCAGCAATATAACTGCACTTAAAATGGACCATGGATACTTATTGTCAAACTGGAGGAACATCAATCTTCAGCTGCTTCCAAGTAATGGATCTTTTTGATATATTGTTACCAGCTAGTTACTCCCAAATGTGGACTGGATTTTATAAATATTATGTGAGTATTTTGTGAATCAAGGGCATTGGGAGCTGTGGTGAAAAGATACAAGTATTCTCCTAGTACTATAACTATAGTTCTACTGGTCTTTGATTGTCAATACAAAGATACAAAAGAGAATTAGAAAAAAAAAAAAAGGGAGGAAGATAAAATAAACCAAAGTGAAAGTGAGAGATGCTACCAAGTATATTCCCCAGGTGGGGTGCAGTGTCACATGTCTGTAATCCCAGAATTTGGGAGGCTGAGACAGGAGGATTGTGAGTTCAAAGCCAGCCTCAACAACGGCCAGGTTCTAAGCAACTCAGTGAGACCTTGTCTCGAAATAAAATATAAAATAGGGCTGGAGGATGTGGCTCCTTCATTGAGAAAAGATGAGGAAAGACCTTTGGCCCAGAAGATTATACAGATATCAATTAAATACATGGAGTATTTAACATCATTAACTATTAGGAAAAGACAAATGAAAATATAATGAGATGTCACAACATGGCTATCAGAATTGCTGAAATAGAAACAAAAAAAAAAAAAAAAAAGAAGAAAGAAAGAAATCACAGGACTCTAACCCTAACCCTAGCAGGACAGAGAGAAGCTAGATCACTTAAACATTACTGATGTGAATATGAACTAACATAACCAGTCTGGAAAACACATGGTTTGCTAAAAAGCTACCCATCTGATCCCAACACTGCACTCCTAAACATTTACTGCAGATAAATGAAGACTTATGTTCACAGAAAAATATGTGCTCAAATGCTTACAGGAGCTTTTTATTCCTAAAAGCCCAACTGATAGCTTCATACCATGGCATACTAACTCACTGACAAAAAGAAACATATAAAACACATGGACACATTTGCAAAATATTATGCTGAGTGCAAAAAGCAAATTCCAAAAGTTTGCATATTGTATAATTTCATTTGCATAATGTTCTTAATATGACAAAATAGATATGGAGAACAGATTAGTTCTTGTCAGGGGTTAAACAGAGAGTAGGAGTGTGAAGAAAGTGGGGGAGGCTACCATAGGGCAACATGAGGGACTGTTCTGGTGAAAGAAATGTTCTGAATCTTCACTGTATCAATGCCAATAGTCTTCATGTTGCTGTACAGTTTTCACAAAGTTACCTTAGGGAAAAACTAGAAAATAATTGGATCTGTCTGTATTATTTATTTTAACTATATCTAAATTTGTATTTCTCTCAAAATAAAACTTTTAATTAAAAAAAGAAAAAAAAAAAACACAATTCCCTTAAGGGCTGGGAATATAACTCAGTGGAGCACTTGCCTCACAGGTGTGAGTTCCATTCACAGTACCAATAAATTATATATATATATATGAAGAACTACAAACCACAAAAAGACTAAATAAAAACTTTTCAAAAATGCAAAGAAGTACAAAGAATAAACTTGTGGCCAGGTGTGGACAAACTTTTTTCTCATTTATTTACTCTCGGAAAGAAGAGGCCTGCAAAAATTCTTATAGCATAAATCATTTCACAAAAGAGAAGTAATAGCTTCTCACTCTTTTGGATAAGATCAAGCATGGTAGCTGTTTTTTTTTTAATCAGTTTAATATATTCTCCATTTGAAAGGGCTATATTAAATGGGCTTTTGAAACTAGGGAATGAATAGGAATTTGTTCTGTTCATTTCATACATTGTCCTGGTTTTGCAGTATTTCCAGGAGCAGTATCCCCCAAGGGATGGGGAGGAGGAGGAAAAGGATGAGGATTAATCAACATGTGGAACTCAGGATGCATACAGCAGGTGGGATGGGGTCCTTGGATCAGTGGGCAGTAATGACTGACTGAAGGAATGTTCATAAACTCAAATCATGCAATGTATTTGGCAACTTTTTTTTCCACCAGGGTTGGCCAAATCAGGCCATATAATTTCCTGTACCAAATACCAATTTCTTTCAAAAATCTCATCACTCATCTAGTAATTTCTTTAACACCTCTTCACCTCCTAGAAAATTCCCCCAAATGTTCTCTGGCAGTGTTATTTAATAACACTTCATTATGACAAGTGATCTTGAATATTTTACCTTAAGAATCTCATAGAGATTGGAAATACTAGTTCCTATGATTATAATCCCATCTTCAATCTGGCAGAGTGTTCTACTCCCTTAAGGGCTGGGAATATATAATGTTCTACTCCCCACCCCCCAGCAAACCTAAATACTCTTTTAATCCCATTACTGTTCCATATCTAGATCTTCTTTCATTGTAACAGATAAACTGATTAAGAAAGTGGAGGGGCTTGTTTTGGAATAATTACTAAAGAGCAGTTCTGCAAATTTTCATATAAAAAATTATGAAAACAAAAATGTTAATAATTTGCCATGTGAGTATGTCTTTGAAATGAGTGAAGAGCTTAACTATATTCAAAAAACAGCAAACACACTTCATTTTTAGGAGACAGATTTTCCTGAGTCCAGCACAGGTAACATCTGCTGACTTTCTCTAAGATATACTGATTTCAAGGCATTTTTATTCTTTACCAGGTAGTTTTAATCATGATAAACATTCACTTAGAAAGCATAAATAATTGTACAATAACATTGCAGTTTGTTATTAACTGAAGGTATAACCAGGTGCTATCATGTCATTTGACATCATCTGTTTTATGGTTTTTCATTTACAGGCAGTGACAGAGTCATTAATTTTTGCAAGTGAAATAGTGAAACTTTTTCAAGTATCTTAATAATTCCTTATGTTGAAATATTAAGTGTAAATTCTCCTCAGAGCATTATCATCTTGTGTTTTTCTTTGCTCCTCTAAACAGTATTTTTATTAGGAAATAATTAGGCATTACTTATCAAAGTAATGGGTAGGGTGCTTAGACAGAGAGAGGGTCAATGATTCTCTATGGTCTCACAGCTATTACCAGAATTGGGCTGAAAACAACAACCTTACATGGAGGAGAGGGAAGGGAACTGGCGTTTATTGATTATCTATCATAGGCCACATGCTATAATAGACTCTGGAACCAAAATTTTATCTATTTTTTTCAAGGCAAAAATACACAGAGCTAGTGTGGCATCCTCATGAATGTCCTAAATAAAGACTTTGAGACTTGGAGGAACAAATCGATTAACTAGAAATCTACACTGGAAACTGGGATAAAAATTTACATCTTCTGATGCCAGATGATGTTGACAATATACATGATGGCATTGATCCCATACCTAACTGTGGACAAAAAATAATATAATCTAATAAATACTGAATATTTGGTATGTGGCAAACTTTAAGTATTGGTTTTGGGGATTTTGTTGTTGTTGTTGTTGGTGGTGGTGGTCTTTGTTTTTTGTTGTTGTTTGGTTTTCTGCAATATGTTGTTTGTTGTTCTTTTGTTTTCTTTGTCTGTTTTGTGCTGCTGGAGCTCAACCCCAGCACCTAGTGCACGGTAGTCAAGAATTGAACCATGAACAACATCCGTGCTCTCTACAAACAATTTTGTTCTTCTTCAGATAATAGGGCTGCTGCAATAAGCATCCTCCCTATCACTATATTTTATTATTTTTATAGGCACTGGCAGAGGAAAGCTTCTTCCCTCTCTGATCATGCAATTGTTAGTTTGGGATTAGGCAGCAAGCATTCTTATATTATGGGGAATTTTATCTGATAGAACAAAGAAAGCATTCAGAGAAAACACATTTACAAGAGGCTTTTTGGTTTAAAAGTCTTATTTCCAAAGATTCCTGCAAGCATGACATATAGATTTACTGCTATTCAGGCTAAAGTTTTGGGGTGTCAATCAATTACGGTGCTTCTCACTTTCTTGTTTTGTCTTAGCAATCTTTATTTTATTCTTTCACTTTAAGATACCTATAACAATAAAAGAGAGTTTTCCATATATGATTATATTTGATATTCAAACTGAACTTGAGATATTACATTCACTATCCATTCAGTATTTTGATATTTTGGGGGGTGTTTCTAAATGGTAATTACAATTGAATTAATAGATCTATTTCATATTTGAAACAAAGTAAAGTCAAACAAATAAATACAGAAGAAAGTTAACCATAAAGGTAAATTTTACTGTATATTAACCAAATGTGTTAATCAGGGAAAATTCCAACTTAACATTAGAATTTTAATTTAGGAAGACTAAGGATATTTTTTTCAACATAGTTACATAAACAACTGATAAAATCTAATATCCAATAATCACTTCCATATAGGTAAAGAACAGACCAGGTAAAATTATAAACGTCTGTTAGCATACAAAAATCTTCTATTTAAGAACTTAGAGAACTAGTAAATTACTAAACTGAAATACAAAGAGCTAAGATTGTGGAGAAAGATGTATTACAGATATCAACTGATCTTCTGAAGTAACTGTTCTCCTGGGTATATTTGTTTACTCTGGACTTTTATTTAAAGTTGAAAACCCAGGATTTATCTGGGCATGAGGAAACTGATAGGGGAGAACTTTCACATTGAGTATTTGAGAATTGATTGTATTTTCACATGCTCAATTACCATTCTTCCCAAGGTAAAAGCCTACAAAGTTTAGTTGAAAAGTTCTTAAAAATAGAACAGAATTTTTGGCTATACATTGGCCAACTATGAATTGATGTATTTCATTATAGCCAGGTCATTGAGTAAGGATCAATGGAGAAAACTAATTACTTTTTATGTATCAGCAAAAAGAATAAATAAAAATTAGAATACAAAATAAAATTAATGTGGAATCACAAAACATCAAACAAATATGAGTAAATCAACAAAAACTTGCAGGTCTCTAGAAAATTAAAAATATTTTTGACAATTTGTAAAGAAGATCTAAATACAGAAATATTATACAAAAGGCATATTTCCTTGGTATATAATTCAACTGACATAAAAATCCTGGCAGTTTGGAAATGGGCAATATCATTCTAAAATATTTCTAATAATTTAAAGAATCAAGAGTATCCCAAGCAATCTTGAAGAAAAATAACTCATCTACAGGATTACTAGATATCAAAATCATTGAAATGGAATTAAAGTAAAATGTTGTCAACACAGGAGAAGACAGTAGGAACCAAAAAGAAGGTTCAGAAGGAGACTCAAATATGTGATTTTTTGACATAAGTAGTGGATCTTTATTAAGTGATATTTGATGGAATTTAATAATAGACATGAAATTTAAATTTTCTTTCATATCTATGGTAGGCAGAAAATCAATGTTCAATGATGCCAGTGTCCTACTTCCTAAACCTCAGTATGCCTTACCTTACATAGAAAAAAGGAAAATTAAAGTTGCTGATTAAATTCAGTTTGTTTAAAATGGAGACATGCTGTGTGATCTGGTTGGGCCCAATGTAATCCTAAGGGTTCATAAAAGTGGAAGGATAGAGAGTGATTTAATACAAGGACATGGGTTGCCTTTGTTGAAGATGGAAGGTGTCAAGAACCAATAAATGAAGATAGATTCTAGTTTCTGGAAAAGACAAGGAAATAGATTCCCATCAGTGAAACCAGAAAATAATTAAGTGATGTTGACATGCTGCTTTAAGTCCAGTGAGATCTGTGTTAGATTTCTGACCTATAGAACTTGTAAAATAATAAATTTGTGTTGTTTTAAGCCATTTAGTTTATGACAATTTGTTACTAAAGTCACAGAAAACTAACAGAGTTCCATAGACAAAAATCAATACTGGAGGAACTATAAACCTGAAACTAAATGTCAAAGATAGATGATTTTTTTTTTCATACAAAAGAGAAGAATATCTCCAAAATTGGGGTAGATAGAAATGTGTTAAACAGAATTGGAAAGGCACTAAAACAGGAGACATATAGAAAATTAGGCTATATAAATTTCATATTCATTTTCTAAAGTGCCATTTAAAAAGTAAAGTCAAAGAGGAGTAGATGAAGGTATTTTGTAGTACACATATCCATCAAAGTAATTCACATAAAATATATAATGTTCTACAAAAAATAAAAAGATTCAGAGACTCATTAAAACTATGGGTAAAATCTCAAAGAGCAACTTTACAAGTAATGATGTTCAATTTGCCAATAGTCCTCAGTCATCATAGAAGCATAAATTAAAATCAAAATTCAAGACCACCACAGGCAGCCGTGTGCAGTAGTGCACCAGTAATCCAAGTGGCTTGGGACACTGAAGCAGGGAGATCAAGAGTTCAAAGCCAGCCTCAGCAACTTAGAGAGTCCATAAGCAATTCAGTGAGATCCTGTCTCTAAATAAAATACAAAAGAAAGTTTGGGGATGTTGCTCAGTGGTTAAGCACCTCAGTGGTTAAGCATCCTTGGATTCAATCCTTGGTTTCCCCCATTGCCCCCCAAAAAGACCACCACAGGAGGTTTATTGGAATGTCTAAAACAACAGACAAAAAGATAGATACTGATTTTTTTTTTGAAAATATAAATATATCTTTACTCACATAGAGCTGATTTAATTTGGGACAAACACTTTGGAACGCTATTTGGTAATATCCAAGGAAGTTGAATATGTACATATGTTTTCTTCAACAATTATATTCTTAGATATATATTCATTATATTTTCACATGTATTCTCTACAATAAAAACTACACAGGAATGCAGAGAAGTACAATTCATGATATAAAAACTGGAGAAAAACAACAATATTCATCATCCCTGGAATGGATACATGCATAACATTCAAACCACTGAAAACTATCAGGGACCACAATTATTGAAATAACTACAACTACTCA